CGCCCAGCTCATTCTAACATAGGTTCTAACATCATCAGTTTTCACTACGTGACAGTATTGAACCGCGGGTTTTCTGTTAGGGTTTACTGCATGCCTATGATATGTCAAAGGCAGCTATTTTGTCCGGAAAGCACGTCAGCCATAACTGTTCTGTAATGAACACACTCTTGTGGTGCGTACGTGAAGAAGTGCTAAAAGCGGACACGAATAATTTAAGCAAGACTATTGGACTAAGAGGCAGTCTAATTGACCACAATGGTAGGAATAACGTAGAAGATTATAAAATTTTAACGAAGAGTAGATAACCGCCACAATCACCGCACATTTTTAAAATAGTGCTTTGCACTTTTCGGGAATGAACATAGGACTCGGAAAACAATGCCAAATTGTCGACGCTAAAATTTAACACCAAGACTCCACTTCCAGGGCCTTTCCTCTGGTGTACATGGTAATTATCTTAATACAAGGTCCTGAAGATACAAATACGCGGTTTGTGTAGCAGATTACAGCAAAACTTTACGAAACAAAGCCGTGCCCTGTAATTTTGACAGTCCCATACTGCAAATGTTAATTATACGCTTCTTTTTTTCCCTAAATTCCGTAAATGGCTGATTTTACCTTAGTAAAACCACAGCCATTAGTTTTGCTCTTTGGTTTATCCAGATATGCTTTTTCCTGCTAGCAGCAAATAACACCGCACAGTCTATGGGACACGTTTGAATTCTTCGAACCCATAAGAAACACAAATCTCATTAGGACAACGATGTTACACTTAAATGTCACGTCTCTGTTCGCTAACATTCCCCTCACGGAAACCATAGAATATTTGTGTGACGAGATTGTTAGACAGGGATCGGCATGCCGATCGGGGACCTAAAGATATTACTCTTCAGCTACACGTAAAACGTGGCCAAATGTACCACCAAATCGATGGCGTAGCGGTAGGATCAGCGCTTTGACCTCTATTAGTTTATGCCTCCATGGGCAAACTGGAGGGCGAGAAACCTTCCCTTATTATAAAGGACTTCCTTTCCTATGTCAGATATATTTGTAATAGCAGATGGAAGTATTGAGTTGGACGCTTTCTTAGATAAAAGGAATCAGGGGCACTCAGCGTTAACCTTCACGGCAAAAGTAGCTTATGTAGTCCCACTCATTAATCCCTACTTCCAGCATGTTGTCCTACGAAAACGGTGATTATAGGGTTTTGTGGGTGGGGAATTAGGATACGAAGTGAAATATACTTTAATAACTGCTATATGCATTTGCATTTTATTGTATTTGGAAGTGTTGTTGATTTATATCTGTAGATTTTCCTAATCCATATTATCGTTTAACGTATTGTGGAAAGCCGATTGTCAAATTGCAGGTTTCTTGAAATTCCCGAAAAATAGAAACGTTGGTTAGGAGGTCGTCTACTTCAACTTACCTGAGGTACAACTTACCTTTCTGGAGTTGGATTAGTATAGCCCGCGGCATATGGAACATCTTACTGTTAGCGGCCATGGGAAACAACTTCGACTACATTTTCACTTCACACTAACTTCTAAAAATTTCCTTCCCTGCCTATCCTATTTCCTCACCCCCGAAACTCTATAACCACCGTTTTCGTATGAAAAAATGTTGGGACTAGGGGTATATGAGTGGGACTACACAAGCTACTTTTACCACCTTCACTCTATAAAAAGAGGACTGATAGTGCCTCCCCTTTCTGGAAGTCCTTCTTAATAGAAGGTCTGATGGAACAATAAGTAGAATTGTATCTCGCAAGAAAGCCTGAACAGGGCAATTCACTAATTTCTACAGTTTTGTATCACTAAGCCAGAAACGAGGCTTAGTCCGCTGCCTCATGAACCGAGACACTAAAAAAACTCGCACTCATCAAAAACACCCTATACGAAAATGGCTTTCCTGAAAAGTTCATCAATACGTTTGTGGAGGAACGTCCAGCAAAATCGGAAGTGCCGACGGCTGAGAGGAAAACCATATTTCTGACATTGCCTTTCCAAGGAGATCCAGCAAGCGAACTTCTACAGCTTCGCTTGAACGCTGCAATCATGTGTACGTATCCAGCAAGGAAGTTAAGATTCGTATTTGCAAGAACTCCATTTCTTCGCCTTGAAGGCAAGCATAGACTCCCGCACCGGACCTATCTAATATTAAGAAAAGTATGGCTGATGAAAACGACCTCTTTGTGGTTTCTTTTACGTTACACTACCTGTGTTGGTGAAAGAGCAATTTTAGTATTGTAATAAATAAACTGCCCACTAGGAA